TTTAGAGCATCTTGCCTTGATATCTTGATCTTGATCTTTTGAAGGAATAGCTTACCGTCATTTACTTGCTCTCATGTCGGTCCAAACCTGATCTCTCTTGGAACTCAAAATGAGGAGTTCAGCAGAATATCTCTGTTGGACAGTGATGTTTCTCTGCAGTAATTTGTCCTTAACTCTGTGTTATACGACTGCTGTAGGTTCTACGTTCCTGTATTCGACGCATGCCTACACCCTGCTGAGCGCCGTGGTGGAGAGAGCAGCAGGTCAGCGCTTCCTCGACCACATGATGAAGATGTTTCAAGAGCTGGGCATGCTGAACACCGTACCGGACGAAAACGACCCCATCATATACAACCGCTCCAGGTAAAAGAGACATTAAACATGCAATTTAAACATAAATGATGAACATGTTGTTAATTTTCTGAATTCTGATTTTAGGGGATCAAAAAGTTGAAAATATCAGCGTGATACAAATCCACTGATAAATAAATAAATGTTAAAAAGAAAAAGTTAAAAATATGATGCAAAATATTAAAATGTTGTTTGTAAATATTAATATTTTAATATTAAGTCATGTGGAGCAGTGTTGTTACTGTTAACTAGTAAAAAATGACAAAAACACAACAAAATTACTAAATTTAAACTAAAATAATATGAAAACTGAAAATATCAAAATAAAAATTAATTCATAATATCAATAAATAATAAAGTATATAAATAATATATGTATATACTTTATATACTAAAGTATATAAATATATATGTGTGTGTGTTTTACCTTGAAAAAAATATATTTAAAAACTTTTCGAAAATAATGATTAAAGGGATACTCCACCCCAAAATGAAAATTTTGTCATTAATCACTTACCCTCATGTCGTTCCTAACCCATAAAAGCTTAGTTCGTCTTCGGAACACAATTGAAGATATTTTGGATGAAAACCGGGAGGCTTGTAACTGTCCCATTGACTGCTAAGTAAATTACACTGTCAAGGTCCAGAAAAGTATGAAAGACATCGTCAGAATAGTCCATCTGCCATCCGCATCACCGTAGTGCCATTTTGGAGTATATCCGCTGAACACAAGCAGCGTACGCTATTCTGTGTCAGCTGCGACACTAGGATACGTTTTCTACGTGTATTTACGCTTTGATTTGAACGAAAACAGTGCATTTGTGCAGCACGGCTGACACAGAAGAGCGTACGCTGCTTGCGTCCAGCTGATATTCTCCAAAATAGCGTTACAGTGATGCGGAGAGACACAGAGGAGACGAATTGTTGAGTCAGTGGGACAGTCACAAGCCTCCCGGTTTTCATCCAAAATATCTTAAATTGTGTTCCGAAGACGAACGAAGCTTTTACGGGTTTGGAACGACATGAGGGTAAGTGATTAATGACAACATTTTCATTTTGGGGTGGAGTAACCCTTTAAGATGTGTACATTCACATATTTAAGGTGTAAAGAAAATATGTTATTACTTTTTACTTGATGGTTACACCACATTACATTTTTAGAGTTATTATTTGAAACGTTTCTTGAAAATGGTATAAAAGTGTTTCAAAATCATAGTAAAAAAACAACCTTTTGTTTTCATATGATTGCACCATGCTTTTCTTAAACACTCATTGACCTGTATAACATCTCCCCTTGTTCCCTGCAGGTTCTACCACTTCAATAAAAAAGGTCGTGTTGTGAACTGCCCCTATGTGGACAATTCGTACAAATGGGCTGGAGGTGGATTTCTGTCCACTGTGGGCGACCTTCTGGTGTTCGGTAACGCTCTGCTCTACAGCTATCAGATGGCCGGACTGAAGAACACAGATGGGCTGCTTCCTGGCTTCCTCAAACCCCACACGGCCAAAGCCGTATGGGCACCTGTGGACAAAACAGATGCGTCGTGGGACAAAGACGGTCTGTATGCCCAGGGCTGGCTGGTGGTGGAGAAACGGCAGAAATACGGGCAGTGCCGCAGCCGCAGACATTACGTCTCACACACAGGGGGCGCTGTAGGGGCCAGTAGCGTCCTGCTGGTGTTACCCAGCGAGAGCGGACACACAGCGAATCAGATGCAGCTTCCTCCACAGGGGGTGGTGGTGACCATCATCACAAATATGCAGTCAGTGGGGCTCAATACCACCGCGCTGAAGATTGCACAGGAATTTGACAAGGCCAGGGATGAAGAAACTGCATCCACTTGATTTATAAACACTGCTGTGATCCTTTTGTTGCCATATTAAGAGATTTGTGGTAAACATCAGGACGCTTCTTTGTTTACAGTGCTGAGGTGTGTTCATGCCTCAGTTATAATTAAACATTCGTGCCAAGTGCTCTTTTAGCTCTTTTATACATATAGGAGCAGTCGAATACGTTGAAGAATTAAAAATGTATTATGGAAACCTCTGTGACAGCCTCTTTCTGATTTTTTCATTTTCCTCCTACATTCGCCATGTCATGCTCACGATAAGTTCAGCTCAGTCTGGTGATTTATCACATTTATTACAGGGAAGTTGAAAAGCAGTGACGGCAGTGCCCTAAAACTATTTTAAACAATTTACTGAAATTCTTTCAAAACCTCATATTAATTTTAAAGTTTGTGTATTTGTGCTTTTTAAAATGTATTTCACACCACTGGAATACTTAAGTGAACTGAACAAAGTCAAAACATGATTACAAATGATGAAAAACAAAGGAAAAGAAATACTGTAGCTAATAATAAAAATAATAATAATACACATTCATTCAAATTTTAACAAATAAAAATGTTCTTTGTCATTCTAAAATAATTCTAAAATAGAAAGTATTTCTATAATCCCTTATTTATTTATACACACACACATACTGTTCATACAGCACACAAATGTCATGCATAGTAATCGCCACTAGATGGCAGTCATAATACTTTATTTAATACCTACCTTTATTAGTAGAAAGAGCAGAACATTACAATAAATACAATATCAGATTTTTGATTATCTGTATTACCAATTTACCAGTAGTCAAATTTTTAGTCAAAAATTATTTTAATGAGGTAAACAGATATTGGTGTGCATAAAAATAAGCAATGGATTATTTCTTTTTTCTTAAATATGACATTTATTAAATTCAACTTTTTTTAGTCATTATTAGTTTATAGGTTTATATATGAAGAGTTTGGTTCCAAAACTATAAATCCATTTTGATTAATTTGAGTAAAATTACCAAGAAAGTGGCAAGATGGAAACCACTATTTTCTGTTTCAAACTTTCACATAGCATCTTTAGGTTCTAATAACATTAAAAATTCAAATCCAGATTTTGATTTTCAAAGATTTATTATAAAATTTTATTATTTTTTCCCCAAAATGCAATAAATCCATGACACTTTTTTTTTTCCAGAATGCAATAAATTCATTGAATCAATATAAAAGTTAGTTTTCATATTGAAACTGTTGAAAATACACAACATAGTAAGTTGATCCACAGCCTCTGAACTTGGTCAATACTAATCTTATATACAGGCACTGGACTAAAAATACATTCAATCAGTCATCGCTCCCAAAATGAATTAAACGGGTCATCTTGTTAATAATGAACATACATGAATAATATCACATTAAACCACAGAAATTCCAAAATGACATTTCCCTTACATTCAACTTGCAAAAGTGCATTCATCTTTGCCATGTTACATTCATTTAGTTGACTAGTGCTATACGCTGTATTAACAAAACATTAATGGCATAAATAAAAACACTTACACTGACAAGCTACGCAATATCGCGTTCATAATCGAATGCGACTCATCTACGATTATGAACGCGATATTGCAGTGATCTACGGCTCGCCATCTGAAAGCACGTGATGGAGATTTACTATTAATCACAGAACCGGCTTTACTGACGAGATGCGCATGACAATCACATGCGATTTATCGTGCAGCCCATTATTATTTTTGTTGTTGTTATTATTGCTGCTATTTTATTGTTGTTGTATTTTTTTGTTATTTCTGTTGTTTTTGTTATTAATGTTTTTATTTTTGATGTAAAATAAAATAATACAAGTAATTTTGTACCAATTTTTTAAAATATGTTTTATGTACTGTACCCACTTAAATTAATTAAACTCTGACACAGTTTGAGATAAAGGTAAGGTAGATTAATTCATTAATTTTTATTTTATTTTTTAAGCATTTAAGATGGAAACTCAATAAACCATTCCACAGAATTAAGTTTTTTTTTATTGAAGTTTATCTAAATATTTAAAACTTTTGACAGTCAGATTTAATAGTGAGAGGAAAACACTGGTAAAACTTTAATTAATATTCATCCATCTGGCTCATTCATTTCACTGGAATCACATTGCATTGTGGGTCACATTGTGCATGAATTGTGCCCTGTTGTACAGCATATTACTCATTTTGGCACATACAGTAGTTCATCTAGATATTAGACATACAGAAAATGTGCAAACTGTGCACAGTATACACACATACTGCAAAAATAGTAACATGCTTCTATAACATGAACATGTTTGATTTTTGAAAAATATTTTCTTGAAAAGTGTCTGATTATATTTTATAAAATTATTCTATGTCCAGTCCAGTGGTGTATATTAATGATTGAGCTTGTTGTTGTTACTTACATTTAATGGTAAAACATTTCAACATTATGAAGGAATTTCAGTATAATCCAGTAGAGATGAAGGAAATAAAAAAAGGAATAAGTGTATAATCAAAGTTTCAGCCAAAACAAAAACAGCACACTGTAAAAAATGTATGTACACGGCACATGTGACCATTATAATATATATTATTAAGTCTTCTATATCTAATTATAATTAAAATCAATGCTAAGGATGCTCGTTTTGAAATGTATTGCTTTCCATTGAACATCTGATATGGTAACAGTTTGCTTGTATAGAATCTGCATCCTTTTTACATATTTAAATTAAGATGTTTTAATTGACAGAACTATTTACAAAATCTATGAATATTAAGAAAGATATTTTGAGAGTAGCTTGCACTTTGGGCTATTGTGCAACTGACACATTTTTCACATTGAGTTGAAGACCTCCACAAGGGGGCGATGTTACAAAGTAAAGTCATAGACTGTATGGGTAAAGTTGTTCCTCTATCAATAATGGAGTCGTCCAAACCATCAAAGCCTCTTTTAGTAACCAATGTCGAGTTCACATGATGCATCTGAGTTTCAAAAGTCGAGTCACACCGTCTGACTAGGCCTTCTTGATTTGACTCTCCAGTACTCAGGTTTTGGTTGACTCTGGGCATTTCTCTTTACTCTGGGAATAAATAGTAAAGATAGAAAAGAGTGTTCATTTCTAGTAGGTTTTGGGGGTTAAAAAGATAAAAGATGATGTTAACATATGGATAAGTTGAAAATCTTTAAAAGAATATTCTGGGTTCAAGTTAAACACATTCGATGGCATTTTTTTTTAAAAAAGGTTGATTAGCACAAAAAAACTTTTTTTTTTTTTTTTAAAGGGGGTAAGAATGCTTAAAGAATTTGAGGGAAGTTTTCACTCAAAGTTTCAATTTGAGAGTATTTAGGGGGGCGTGGCAGAGTCTTAACTTTGATAAAGAATATCTCTTTGGTTTTGAGACTTTAGTCTTTGCAACTTCAGGGATCTTATCTATGCACAATCAGCTTGTAACACTCCAAAGAGAAAGGAAAACTTGAAATCGCATCATATGACCCCTTTAAAGGTTAGGATGAGGCATTTACAAAGGAAGTCAATTGGACCAATCTTTGAAGGATTTAAAATTCTAAATGTAATTGTATTATTATAAAAGCACTTATATTTCTGCACTAAAATCTGTGTGTATTATCTGAGCTGTAAAATTGTTCCCATCAGTTTTACCGTCATTTTAGGATTTTTTTGGAGCTGTAAAATTTGATAAAACTTTACAAAAGGTTTGTTATCTATTTTTTCCACACACTTATACGCATATTGTTTACTTCTTGTGGCTATACTTGTGAAACAGTGAATAGTTTGAAGATCACAAATGTCCATAATTATTCACTTCCGTTGTAAGGGTTACGCTGAATCATTCACTCAACCGATTCGTTCAAAAAATGATTCATAAACAAATGATTCATTCTGCTGTGGCTTCATCTGGAACAAAATTCGTTGGCGGAGCAAACAGATCAAGCAACTGGCGATATAGTGCCCAAAATGTAAGTTATTCACTATTAACTACGTACAGAAATGTTGTAACCAGCTTATTTTGCAAGGCGGAAGTAAGCTATTTTCTATGAATGTGTGAGACTTCCGTTTCATTAGCCGTCCCAGGTAAACAGGCTAACTAGAAGAATAACAAAGTGCAGTAAATGGTAAAACAATGCACGCTGCAAAATCAGTATGTTTAAGATTATGATTATACATTGAAATTCTATCATAACAAATACCAATTGCAGTTTTGCGATATAAAGTAGTATTTTTGAACAGATAAAATAACTGGAATCTATGACACCGGAAGTCTCGCACATTCAAGTTACAAATGGTAACAGTTAACAGTAATGCTTTACTGTAGACAGTTCTTTTTATTAACTGAGAGACGAATTTTTGTGATAATCCACCGCATGTTTCTTTATAATGTCGATAAAACTTGTGTTGAATGCTTAACTTCAGTGTCAGAAGCGCATGTGACTCACTTGCAGATGTAGTAGATGACCACACCGAGCACCACTAGGATGAGGAGGGCGATGATGACCACAGCGGCGATCATGCCCTTCTCCTCACTGTCCTGCAAGAAGCTGAACAGCTGGAACTGCTCACATCTGCTGCCCTCATAGTTCGCACTGCATCTACAGGACAAGGGTTTCATGCAAAACATTTCATAGGTATTTTATAATGTAAATGACAAAACAAGAGATATTCTGTTCGTGAAGATACTTACACACATGTGGGAGTAGACACCGAGGGTATTTTAAAGCATGTTCCTCCATTCATGCAAAAGGTGGCTTCTGACCCAGTGCAAGGGTCACCGTGTTCTATAACGAGAGGAAAACCAAAGGAAACAAAGAGTATATGCATCATTTATTTACCTCGCCTTTATTTTGCATTTACTTTGCATTTGCATTTCGAGAATTCCACATCACGGAAACAACATCAAGTGTGATTTGCACATGATACGATTTTATATCAAATTCCTTTTCTTGTTATATTTTTATTATCTTTAATATTTTCCCCTCATTTCTTTGATGTTTTTATTACCTGCCATCATGGGAAATACTGAATAGATCTTCTCGTAATGGAAATTTTAACTGACAGCAGTCACTTGATGAACACCTGAGGACAAAGTAGTAAATGTGGTCAGGTTAGCTTACATTTGTTCAGAAAGTTTACATATTTTAATCCCTTTATATATATATATATATATATTTTATTTTATTTTTAA